TGAAGTAAGTTCAAATTATCCCCTCTGCCTGTGGTTCTGGGGATTGAACCTTGCATGCACTCTGCCACTGGGTGACGTCCACAGCCCAATAATCATTCTCATCTTGAAGATGAGAAAATGAGGCCCATAGAAGGTAAGAAATTTGCCAGTAGTCCTTTAGCTACCATGAAGGAGTAGCAGTGGGGATCTAACTTCTCTTTCTCCAGACTCTTTCCAGTAGTCATGAGCTCTATCCCCAACCAGAGAGTAAGTCCCTTGAAGGCAGGGCTGGGCCCTGGAATCTTTTCTAGGTCTTCCCCTCACTGGAGCAGAGTGATGCGTTGATGTGTGGGGGGAAGAAGCCCTAATCCCAAGAGCTGACCCTGTCTCAGAGAATCAGGCAAATGCGCATCAGCGTGAGGGGCCAGGGTGAAGAGACACTGGGCCCTAAGCAGCGATGGACCCCAGTCTGCATGTCAGGCCAGCTCCTGGCTCCCAAGGATGTCACAACCACAGAGCTTCTCAGTCATGTTCTGGGTCTGAAACATTTGCCCTAATCTATCCCAACTCTTGGCTTTCTGCTTTCTGACTCATTTCCCCCTTTTAGTCTAGTCTTTCAATCTCTTGGCCTTCTGAAATTTTTCCCTCCTAGGACTTTCCTTCTCTTAATAATAATTTAGCATCTGCCTCTGGGAAGTTCTCTCAATGGCCTTGTCTTTTTTTTTTTTTTTTTTTTTTTTTTTTTTTTTTATTTTTCTTTTGTATCAGGAATCAAACTCAGGACCTTACACTTGCAAGGCAGGCAAGGTGCTACTGAGCTAACTCCCTTGTGCCCTTGCCCTTGTCTCTTTGACCTTTGTCCCTGAGTCCTGGACCTGGGTACAGCCACAAGTAGCTGAGAAATGGCTCATTCAAGGACTCAATCCTCTGTTCTTAGCTGGCAGAGGGCAGCTGTGGGCAGCTCTGAGAAAGGGGCCTTTTCACTTCATAGGCTGAGTATGCTTTATAGCCAGTAGCTGCCCAAGAGCACTAGCAAGGAGATGTTTTGTTGGTTTCTTCTCCTGCCTCCTGGTCTGGGATTTCCTGCAAATGCATCCCACCTCAAGCCCTGATCCCTTCTTTTCTCTATGGACCTCTTCCAGGAGGGTCTAGTGGCTCCCCTGGCCACCAAAATGTGAGCAACATGCCCATCATGCAGGTCCCCCTAGCACCTGGGATTGTCCCTCCATGGTGGCACCTGGCCCTCAGCATCATTTCTCATCTGCATGTCTCAGAGCTGTAAGACCTAAGAGGGCAGAGATTGTGTCTCTTGTTCACTTGTGTGTCTCCAGCACCTTGCTCAGTGCCCAGTAAAGTGCACACTGGGGACTTAATTAGCATGCATTGAGTTGGCCAGTCTCTGAGACTCCTCCTCTTCCCACCCACAGGGAAAGTGTTCCAAATCTGCCCATTCCTTACTCACATACCCTTCAGCTCTTTAGAAGGAACCCCATCCCACACCGTGCTCAAGACTTTTCAACTTGGGTGGGCCTCTCACAGGAAGGGTATGGGGGGGACCACTTCCCCCCATATCACATGTTCATTCGGTCACCACAACCCACCAACCTGCTGGGGACAAGGCTCATTCCTCCAGCTAGAGACCGGAACCTAGTAGGAGGCCTGCAGTGGGGCAGAGGGGGAGGGGGCCAAGAGATGTGCCCATGGGTGACCACGTGTTCCCAGGGTGGGAAACAAGATGGTACCCGCCATCAAGGCTGGGAACAAGAGAAGCCAGAAGAGGTGCCCACAGCCTTGTCCCAGACCTCTGGGGTGATGTGTTGTCACCAAAGGAATGGAAACCTGTACTTTGGGAGCTTGGAAGCCAGGGCTGGGTTTTTTGTGTTTTCTGTAATTATTTCCCTTTTGTTCTCCCTTAGTATTTAGTAAAGCCCTTTGTGAAGATGCCAGCTGGTCTCAGCTGTGCTAAGAGAAATGACAAGGGGACTCTGAGAATGTTGCTGGTGCTTTAATGGAGGGTCTAGCTTAGTGGTCAAAAAGTCAAGCACCTCCAAAGGACACAGGGAGGTCCTGGAGGCCACCTCACATCTAGACAGTATCCCTGACCTAAGTCTCTTTCTAGATTCTTCTGGGGTTCAGCCTCAACCCCTAGGCTTTACTGAAACCAAGGGGTCTAGAGGGCTGGCTGACCCTGCTGTTCTGAGGGGTCATTTGGATCTCAGTGGTGTGAGATCCAGAAGCCAAGCACCTGCTGTGCTCCATCTACCCAAGGGCATGGGGACCCTCTGCATTTGCTTGGCAAGCTGCTGTCGAGGAATTAGGGTAATGAGCTAGTGCTAGTAGCCACCCGCATTTCCTTCCTGCTGTCACAGCTCTGGGCCCTCTCTGAGTCTTGGTCTCCTGTAAGCCTGTGGCCTACTGTGGGTGGACACTCAGCCAGTCCCTTCCCACCTGCCTGGGACCTACTGCATCTATATTTCCTGCTATTATGTCTCTCTTCTCCGAAGCCCTGTTCATCCCCGTTTCATCTCTCAGCTGCTCTGGGGAGAGGGGCCAGAGACCGTCCCCTCTGGAACAATTGCCCCTTTCTCTCTGAGTGTAAGTGATACACGAGGAGGGGAAGCTATTTGGAACTAATCAGCAGTGATGTGGAACAGAGCCCACGAGAGCTCAGGGTATCCCGCTCTGGGCTACAGCTGGATGGCTGTGCTTCTCAGTCTCCTCGTGAGGACAGTAGGTCACCCCTTCCTCCACCCCCACTCTTTCTGGCAGGTGGCATCTCTGCTCTGTGCCAGACGTGTGCTTTGAATGCTCAATAGGTGGACACATCCCCTGCACCTTTGAGGGAAGTATTATTGTCCCCATGTTTCAGATGAGAACGTGGAGGCCCAGAGAGGGCAAGTGATTCACCCAAACTCCAACAGCCAACCAGCAGAAGAGGCAGAGAGAGGGATGACACCCCTGGGGCTAAACAAGGAGGCAGCCCTTGGGCCAGGATCAAGAGCCTGCTTCTTACTAGCTGTGTGCCCTCAGGCAAGTCTTTTCAGCTTTCTTCTTTTTCTGTTATTTTCTCCCATCTCAGAAGCTGGCTGTGTGGTTTAACTAAGAAAGAAAAAGTTGGCCACACAGCCCAGTTCTTTGTAAGTGCAGAATAATTTCAGCTATTATGATTATTTCCTGGAGAAGGAAGAAAGAGGTGGGCCAGCTGATCACCATCAAGCTTCAAGCAGACCCCATGAACTCACCAGCCAATTAAACTGTTCCAGAAGAGATGGGGCTTCTGCATTAATCCTCTGTCCTCCAAAGAATGGGTCCAACCTCACACACCTCCTTCTCCATGGAGTGAGGATTTGGGAGAAGATAGGAAAGAAGAGAGCCCCCATGTCAGTTGAGCCCTTTCTCTATACCAGGTGAGGTCAAAACATCTCACAACTGGTTATGGGTGAGCACCCCTTGAGGGCCTGCTTCTGTTCTACTTTAATGTGTCCCTTTGGAGTGTTGGTCCTTTGCTTGTCATCTGTGCTTCAGAGGGAGGCTGGGTGGGCAGGGCACTCAGGAGCCCCTCTTGGCCAACTCTAAGCTGCTGCTCATGAAGACTGGAGGCCCTGATGGACTGGCTGGTGCTAATGATGGGCAGGGGGGAACCTGGGCCTTTCGTGGGGCCTCCATTTGTCCAGCTGACTTAGTCCCAGCTCTGGGCACACCAATGCAGTGATGGCCCTCAGGGGCTTCCCATCCAGAGGGAAAGGCTCAACGCTGTCATAGACAACACCAAGTCTTCAAAGCCTCTGACAAAGACATGGAAGATCTCTAAGCCTCTGATGGCCTGTTTCTCAAGCACCTGAATGATGTGAAAGAATATTCTGGAGACTTCAGAGAAGGTCCAGAGAGGGAGCTGGAAAAGGGGTCAAGAAAGGCTTCATACAGAGGAAGAAATGAGTGTGTAGTATCTTACAAGAGGAACTGAAGTCATCAGAAAGAAAGAGTGTGGTTGTCAAGGAGAACAGCTTGACAGAGCATGGGTTATTTTAGGAACATGAGGACTCTGGTTAGTGCTAGACTATGTGAAGGTTAGAGGAGAGGCTGTGCCTGGAGGTGAGGCTGGAGGGTGAGGCTAGATGGGAAGTCTGGTTCAGATTGGGAAGCAACTGAATGCCATGCTGAGAATTTGTAGTTTATTCTGAGGGATGCAAGGAGCCACTGCAGGCTCTTGAGAAGGGGTGGGGCATGGCTAGATATATATTTTGGAGAAACAAGTCAGGGCAGCTGAAGGGTTGGGCCTAGAGGAAAGAAGATCAGATCTGTGGTTACTGCTGAGCTAAGAGTGACCTGAATCAAGACATCAGCCATGGAAAAAATCAGTGTGGCACTGATAAAAGTATTCATTTCTCAGCCTTATTAGGAACTGGATGTAACTAAGTTCTAAGAACCCTTAGAACTTCTGAGAGTTACATGTAAAAGTAGAAATGTTGGGTTAGACTTTTGGGAAGCATTCATCTTTTTTTTTTTTTTTTTTTTTTTTTCTAT